CGGCTTATTCCTTAGACACAGCTGATAATTAATAGCCCATACAGCTAATCTACAGTTTATAGTGGAATCCAAACCACATTTTTGCCTTGGTATTAACGAATTGGTCTACTTATCAAACCAGTAAGTCTATGATAATAGGTAGTTAGAATTTTATCCACTTTACAATCTCACTGAAATCGTAATAAACAGTCTTTGTTTTGTACTAAGCGACTCTCAAATCTGCCAACCTACCCAACGTAAGATGACCAAATTCGCAAAACATTGTGGCCTCATCACCCCCAGGTGTTCACTTGGGGAAAACGAAGAATTTGGAGTATATGACACAATCGATCATATTTTAAATTTCGAGTATTTTTACTTAATTATAAAGTTCCCTTGTTCTCACTATACAGTTTGTAGACAGTTTGTTTCAGTATCAGTAGCAGGTGTGTTGTTATCACCTGTAGCCCCTTATTTGTCCCTGAGGAGCAATAACATGTTTCACACCAGAGAATCCCTTCCTGAACTGCTTTAGCTTGGTAACTACTTAACTAGTTGATCATAGTTTAGCTCCCAATATTTATACGTTGTTACAACTGTTATGAAATATTGCAAAATAAGTTGAATTTCTTTAACTGGATATAAAAAAATATTTATATTTTTAGTTTATGAGAGGATTTATGTTTGAAAAATTACCACATCATCAAACCATATTAGATTTCCTTCGATTTGCCAAAGAAAATTACCTGAAGGTTATAAACACTGTGTAAAGGTCTTTGACAAGTGTTTATTCAATGTATTTACCTTTTTTGTTACAAATGAATCGATAATCTACAGTACAAAAGGAATTGTATGTTATAATCTTCTGACAAAATCTTTATTTACAATTAAAAACTATGTTACAAATTTCAGCGGTTATTTCAATGGACATGGTTATTAAAATGAGACATTATTGTAAATTGCAGCGAAATTACGTTAACAGTTTCTTTCTTTCTAACTGTGCACAGTTATAGGACAAACCCCTGAAAATCTAAATAGCCAATAATGATTCGTGAAAAGAGCTTCATGAAATTTAAATCTGTTGAATTATTTTTGTGTGGAATTAGATTTCAGATTTAAATTAAATCTTTTTGTGGAAAATAAACTCAATAACACACCTACTTTATGTATACATCCACTTAAAAAATTACAGATTTTATCAATTTCATTCATTTAATTGAAACAAAATAGAACAGTGTCTTTATAGGCTGAGTTATATTTTGGATACAGTTAACACTAATTGTATGAATAACCAAAACACCTATTTTTTAGCCTACATAAGATCAATAGGTAAAGGTGTGTTTTTAATTTGAATACATTACACACACACTTGATTGATCATTAACCATCACACATATCCCTTCACATCACATTCGCTAATGGTCATTTAATTAGATGGGTGATAATCAGGTAAATTAATGATCTGGTGGCTTGGTGTAACATTATCGCTTAGTACTTGGTATAGCATCATGAATCATTGGATAATATTACAACTCAGTACATAACGGTATTTTTCTGTATGCTATCATTTGCTTAGCGAGCGATAATAAAGAATATGAGTGATTTAATGATTGAGTAACGCCACTACGTGTGTTTTTTTTAAGCATTTACATTCGTTGGAGTTTGGTTTTACATTATTATAGTTGTGAATAGTGGTAATAGGGTGTGGTGTGGTGATAAATAGCGTTCGTACCACGGACCGAAATGGTTTTGCAGCTCTCGATCGTTTTAAGTTCTCGACTTAGTCTGGAACTAAAAAACTATCTCGAGCCGGCAAAACCTCATTTTCGGCCCTAGGTACGAAATATACTATTTCACCACACTATGATGTTTTTTCCTGTTTTACATACGTTAATTGGTGGCTGAAAGTTAGGTTTTGCTGGCCATGCCAGCTGTTATCGTCATTTGGGGACCGAGCAGGTTTTTACATCCCTAGTGCCGCTATATCAGCTACCCACTTACTTTCTAAAAATATGAATTCATATTAAATACACAATCAGTATCTATATAGCATTGCAATAGAATTGTTTTAATGTCACAATTTCCTAGCAACTATTTATTATTATTTTTGTTGATTCCTCAAATTAGTTCTTCACATAACCTTAAATCTGTACTGTAGTTAGTTGTAGTTGTGTTGACGATCAGTGTGCATTATTGTTGTGGTGAATAGTGGTAATAGGATATAGTGTGGTGATAACTAGCGTTCGTACCACGGATCGAAATGGTTTTGCAGCTGTCGATCGTTTCGAGCCTGCAAAACCTCATTTTCGGCCCTAGGTACGAAATATACTATTAATCTGAGTTGCATTTTTAGTAAATGACATTCATACTCCTCTTACATTCATCATGAAGAATATTTGGTTTTGTAAAATATATTATCGCAAACGAAAATAATTATCCTTGAAAATCAAATATTCTCATGCTATCACATTGTCCTTATCCTAAACGTAATGTTTTATCTACGTGATTTTTATATTCAGCATTCAGTAAGAGAGATACACTAGATGTTACTACGTGGCACTGTTATATGATTAAACCTTGGTCCAAGAGAGTGACCTTATCCAGATAGGATTACTGTGGTCGTCCCTTTGGGTGTGTATTACCGCCTACCCTTTAAATGTGAATTAACGAAGGATTAAATTAAGTGAATGTATTCTTCCCTGTTGTGCCTAAATGTTACCATCTCATACCAAATATCGAAGTTTACGTCTTTTGCTAGCCATATTTACTTCATTAAATATAGGCTGGTTATCAATTAATAGAATTTTCTCAAGGTTTCCAACTCACAGATCTTGCGATGTTAATTGATTCTATATATTTTTTTTCATTTTATGTATTTTTAAATAATAATTACTAGCCTATATTGTAATGCCTGATTAAAATCCATATTTAATGATGATCTCTATTATTATTATTTATATTTCCAAATGTAGTTTTTAAATACAATTTTGCATCGGTAACAAAACACAAAACTCAACAAAATATTATACCTACCATACTCTTAGTGTTAAAACCAGCATCATAATGGCTTCTCATTTCACACAACATCAAAATAATTTGATCTATAAGTTGATGATCCATCATGTATCGCTAATAAATCCTGTTCATTTGCCATGGTCCTTTTATTTTCAACTTCTGTGTTTTAAGATGTTTTGAATTATACTTTTTTTAAACCTCCCCGGCAAATATTAAGAAAAACGTATTATTAAACAAAAAAATATTATTGATGGTAAGAGCATTTAAAATGTTAATAGACATATTTTATATTAAAGGTTAAACACTTTTTAATTGAGTAGTTTACGTTTGAAATGTAAACGATCTGTTATGTTCCCTTGTATACAAGAGTTTGACGAGTACCTAATTAATAGTATACCCAAATGTGGTCTCATATCTATACCTAATATTCCCAAATATACGTAGGCCTACCTATATAAGGAAAAAGTTTGTACGACATATACCTGACTACCCAATTTATAAAGTATAATTTTAGATTTGTCATGTTAGACTTTTGTTATTATGTTAACGTATACACAGCTTGTCATTCTAAAACAAAAATCAATATAAGGCAACGTATTCATCTAAATATTACTTTTTTAACATTAATACATTTTAAATCTCTTTAACAAATATCCGTTGTGTACTATAATGCTTTTGTAAAATTTAATTCGTCAATTTATGGATAAAAAACATTATACTTTCTAATACAACACCTGTTGCACGCCAAAGTTTAAAGTTAGATTCCACATATTCGAAATTGTTACCACGTGTAATCAGATTGAAACACGAATAAAACCAAGCCAGTGCCTGTAATGAATATTGGGGAAGGGAAATATGGTTGAGGGGCCGCAATAAGGAGCAAAGTTAGGATGGTACTTGGGACTTAAAGTAATCAGAACTTTTAAAAGTTTGACTAAGACCTTTTCAAACTTCTTTGTATTGGATTATAACTTTCGTCTGTTATACGTCTTCCAAGGTTTTCTGCAGCGTAAAACTAATTTAAAGTTTTCTTTTAAAATTTAAAATTGAATGACATTACTGATATTAACGTGTATATAGATTGCGGTCTCGGCCGATTAGTTGTTTCGTGATTTGACTAAGTTATCACAATGTGTTGACCAATTGTTCATTATTCCATAAGATTATATTCACGTCTTGACATATTCAGGAATTATAGTAAAATTCAAATTATGCTGAATAAAGTAAATAGTTATTCACACAATATTAAATTTCTTACGGATTTGACCTAATATTTGTATGTTTTCTAGATAGATGGGACTCCAACCTAAGGAGGACTCTTATCTGCTGGGTCAAGTCATTATTCCTAGTGATTTGTGGGATTTGAACTCGGGGCGCCGGAACAGAAAGAACCCTTCCAACCACTAGGACAACCGCGCGTCCTTATCGAAATTTATTCATAACACATTCTATACCACCACAGTCTTATTTTATGAAAAATAGTGATTAACTTTCAGACATTTAATAGCTTACCTTACAAGTGTAGTAAGAGCGTTTTTACATCACGCAGGTGAATGTTGTGCAACGAGCGGAAGCGAGTTGCATAATTCACCTAAGTGATGTAAACACGCTCTTGCGTAACGTGTAACGTACAAGATTTTACCTGACCTGACAGTATACAGGGGGTTACGTACAATATTTTTCATTATCCATTTCACTCATCTTCTAAGAGTAACGTTCTTTTACAAACAAAAGCTAGGTTCGGAACATTCTTTAAAGCATAGCAATAAAATTCAAGCGCACATCTGATTTCCAGCGTTAAACGTCGTTGGCTACATAGAGGTATATTTTTTTAAGTTGAGCACTCAATGTTATTTAAATGGGTTTCGTTACTTCACCGAGTGAGTTTTTGAAACTTTACATCACTCGTGAAGTAAAGAAGTTGTATACATCATGCTTGTGAAAGGGAAGTTTAACATGGCGGGTTAGGTAAAAACTTATTTTTTAACTAAAATAACTTTTTACAGGTTCCAGACTACAATGGAAATAATCATGGTGTCCAGATACCAGCTTTGCTAAGGTAAGACATATTTTATGTTTATTTATAGAATGACATATATTCTATGTACTCTTGATAGTCTGCATGTACCCTTTAGGTCCAAATCATGTAGTGCAAACGCAGTTGGTAATTTTAATATTAAGATGACTGAATCATAATGTCGTGTCGTGTACGTTGTCGTATCAATTGTGCCAAAGCTGATTTATTCACAAGATATGGTAATCTTGTACATAAAATAGATGCAGTACATAATTTAATGTTTATGTTGGTTGATTTTGTTAAGGAAATAAATTAACAATAAAGTCGATATATATTTGGTACTGTTATGTTTTAATACTATTGTATGACTATTTAGCTCAAAAGAATCTTTCTTTTTCTTTTACTCAAATGCAACAAAAGGGCAATAAAAAATATCGGGTTTTTATAAGCTCTTGGTTTGCTAACTCATTTATGGCTTCGTCTGTTGACGAAACACTCTTTTTAAATGAGTGAAGATTTAAAAAGAAAACTAATTGTCTGCCTATTGAATTGTAGCATATGAACGACAACTTGATAACCCTTGGCCTCGATACCAGATGTAGCTTTTAGGTCCAAAGACCAAGTGTGAACATTGTAGCACTGCATAGTATATATTAAAAATTGCCATGTTATGAGTAGTAAGACGAAGAAGAGACTTTAAATATACAGGACGACAGTTAAGTGTTATATATCAGTATACCTTACTAGAGTAAAAAGATTGGGGAGCGAGCTGGTCTTGTGGTAGAGCTCGGGGCTTCGAATCCCGAGGTCCCAGGCTCAAATCCCGACAATTGCAATTGGATTTTATTGGAGTGATAAGGCCGCAACCCTCTATGACTAGCCTGAAGTAACGTGTAAACAGAACCTCTATCTATCTATCTATCTATCTATCCTTGTGTCTTATGATGTGAAAGTATTAAAAATAAGAAGCCTAGAGTAAAAAGATTGGATAGTATACAGTTTTAACTGTAAAGTAAATCAGATTATTAAAGTAATTACGTACACTGTAGAAGCTATGATTATTTCATATATTAGTTCAATACATATATCACAAAATGTTCGATAGCTTTGTAAAAATCAAAACAATACAGTACTATTTCCAGGCTACTGTCTGGCGACTTTGATTGAGAGGGGGCACCACTTTCAGAAACTTTTTCAACTCCCTTGGGAAACCCCACAGACCATGGTATCCAAAGTATTCGTTATTTTTGTTTTAAAAGAATTTCCGCTCATGAAGTCTACATAAGGAATAATTTACTCAACGGATTGTTCAATGTTTCGCGTTATGAACTAGGTAAGGGAGTTTTAAACTTTTTTATTTAGCCTCAAACACGATAAGAAGTATGAAAATTACATTCTTCATGGGACTTCGATATTTTTTAGGTACTTTTTATCGTGCAATTATATAAATTTTCTGATAAAAACTATTTTTAAATAGACATAAGGTAATGTTGGATACCCTTAATGATACATGTTTCCAAAATTTTCAACACTTTAGTTTTCTCTTTCAAAATGGAGTGAAGATAGTCCATTTGGAGGCGTTTAAAGACATAAAACATGCATTTTGAAATGTGCATAGGCAATCCTTCAAACATACAAACCCCTCTACTTCCCTTTTACATCTGCCCTTCTTCTTATCTTTAGGGCATTTTTCCCTTTCTAGGACCTCGATGGTAACATGAGTTGGTGAATAGCTAACTGTTTACCAGCCCAGATTGTGTGTATAGTTGAGTTTGAGATGTGTGATTTTGCATTTAAAGATGAGTCATCGTACGTGAAGCTATCATAATTGCATACAAAAACAGGAACAAGCTTAGTGTCGAGACATTGACATTGACCTGCTGAAAATGACGTGTGACGAACTGAAGATAGACATTTGCATCTGATCAAACTGTTCTTTGGTGTATATAAGACTCTCAAACTACAATACACCAAGTGCATCCAATATGAGGTTCTTGATTGTGGTAAGTAGAATTAGGTGTTCAACTTTTGTCTTTTACCAACACCATAGAATAAACTAATACTATGTAATAACAGACAGTATTCCAAGACCAGATCTAGTTCACTCTGCATCTAATGATTATCTAATAACAAAACAAATTAATAGGCAAACTATTAAATTTCCACCAAATAAAAAACATCTTTGAACTTCAAATTTTAAATTTGACAACTTGTATTTTTAGTGCTTATCTTAACAATTGTAATACAAAGAATATTACCTCTAAGGCAATGCCTGTTGTGAAATTCCATTGAATATAGGCCTACAGATACCAAATGTGGTGGCAGACACTTAACTTGCCTATACTGTATAGTTAAATGTATACCACTTATCAGTGGCTTACCTATGGCTAATGAGTGGGTATATCTTGAAAGGGTAGTCAGACTTTCTTATTTCACCTTCTAAATCAATCTATTTTCAGTGTGTTCTAGCTGTAACCCTTGCGGTGGTGGTTCTCGCAGAATCCGAACCTAGAGGGTTTGGCGACAGCAGCAGTGGCAGCTATGGTGGGGACGCTAAAGGAAAGATTAAGAATGGAGGCAATGGGCAAGGACAGAAACAAGGAAACGGTGGTTATGGAGGAAATCAAGGGGAGAAGAAGTATGGTGGTGGCTCCTACGATGGAGGAAAAAGCAATGGCAAAACAGGAAGTGGCCACGAAGTAGCAGGAAATGGCAAATGTGAATCTGGTCATGGCAAAGGTGGATCAGGCTATGATAAAAGCAGTAGCAAAACAGGAGGCGGTCACCAACAAGGAGGAAATGGCAAAGGTGAATCCAGTTATGGCAAAAGCAATTCTGGCAGTGAAAAATCAAGCGGCAGTTCAGGATTCAAGAGCGGTGGCTCCCAAAAAGGAAGCTTCCAAAATGGAGGTGGATCTTCCAAAAAATACTAAAATGTAGAACCAGTCTCTTGTAGTACTGCTTAACAATTCTAAGTGTTAAAGTTTTACATTTTATGTAGTACATAAGTGCATGCTATTAAATATCTTAAAGGAATGCCTCTGTTTATTAACAAAACCTCTATGTAATGCATTTTGTGGTGAAATACAGATATCTAGAATCATAATGTAAATTATTAACTTCAAAATCCAGGCTTTTCAAAGTATCCTAAAATAGTGTAGTATTTCAGGCAAATAGCTGTAAGTTCGAGTTCGTAAGATCCTATGAGAATTAATTGAAACTCGTTATACTTAAGATTCAAGATCTTTCTTAAAGAATAAACTTTATCTAAGACCTAATAATTAAGTCCCAAAGTCAAAAAAGGTATTTTATTGTTCCAAATAACTAGTAATAACTCAAAATTTGTTATACGCATCTTTTTGTCACGGGCACTGTACCCAATGGGCTAACATTTTACACAAATGCAGATTTCACATCTTTGAAATTAGAAAAATATTTCATATAAATACGAGATATATATTTATGGATGGTTTTTCAACTATTTTCGTGTTTTAGATCTGTAATTATTGATCTGTAAGGGACATTAACGAACAAAGAGCTTTAATTTATAAACATTTTTATTTCAGCTTATAACAAGCTAAAACGTTTCCCTACTTAGTCAAGAACGCAAAACATCAAAATAAATATCTTAGAGAAGTTAAGAATTCCTTTTGTAGACTTCGGAGGTAAAGATTCTTTCGAAAAGTTTCAATAAAGCTAAGAATTGTTCGAGTCTTTGAAAGTCTCTAAAGGAGTTACACAACAAGTTTCTAGTGATTCCCTCTTTAATCAAAGCCCTCCAGTGGGCAACCTGGAACTGCTCTTTGTTTTTTGTAGCATTCAGAAATTAATTAAGATTATTTCAAATAAAAACAATTAAAAATTATACTAAAGCAAATAACACTTTATGATTTTTCTATTATCTGAGTAACAAAATTAAATTTATGAAGTAAACAACAAAATACACTTTTTTGTTACAATAAGAAAACATCACGATGAATAGGCCTGTACTGAATTTTAGAACTTGTTGCAATTTAGTTTTAATCAATCCGAATTCTAGACCTCTTTTTTCGCAATTTCGAAATACATCTTACGTTTGAGAAACGGCTTTTCAACATATTCGATGGTGGACATGAACTTTCATAGTACTGTTAAACTTATATAGAACTCATACTTCAAATTTGGGTTCACCGCAGTTCTCCACAGAACCCAAAACAGCGCAGTTCCGCAGTCATCCAGTACTTTTTTGAACAAAAAAGCCATAGAAACATCAACCAGAAACAAAGTTATAAGCTTTAAAATACCATTTTAATATAACTAACCTACAAAACGGGGAGAAAGACGACGAATAGACATATTTTAACATATTAAGGAACCATTGGCACTGATAATACAGACTGAAGTGTATGGTAAATCTACAAAATGGTATATGGTAGCGCCTATGTCTGATGTTAAAACGCCAGCTTAGAGTCCTTCTGCTTCTGGAAGAATGGAAAAAGTCAGCTAGTATATCTGACTTTTTACATATATATAATCCGTTATATAGTATATTCTGACTCCAGCGAATGCACCGTTCCTGATGACGGTGTGATACAATCATTGAGGTTCGGTATCATATACCAGATGTAAATTATGCTAATGTTAACCATATTTCTTCGTGCTTGAATGTTCAGTAAGTTCTGCAGTGTTCACAGCAGTATATAAAATCTCATGTATTCTTGTTTTTTTTTACGATTATTTGGATTACGGTTGCTTTCATTGTCCATACAACCACACCATACACGAAGTCAACGGATAAAGGTCCTGGTGCTCCCGTATTAGGTTTATTTAGTAAAATTAACTTCAGTACCAAACCCTTTTTCCCCGACGTAAAAACTGTTGACTATGTAACTATGGCACAACAACTATTGTAGGCCACGCCTAGAAAACATGAAAGCTCTTTAAGTTCGGCAATTTTTAAGTTAGTATACAATAGATTAAATAAGTAAATATGCTAACTTAAAAAAACAAAAGAAATTTTAAAGAGATTTTTGTTCGGCGAACTATAATTTTCATTTTAGTATAGACAGAACTTATTACTTGGCAATAATTGCTCAGTAATTAAACAGTTTTTTATGAAACAACACTATAGGATTTTAAATTAATTAGCTAACGCTATACACCTTTTAATTTCTGTTTATGGGCACCCTTGCATATACCATTATAGCATATCATCATTTGAATTCATACACCATTTAAGTTTATTTAATGCGTTCCATTAATACATACAAAAATAACTGTACTCTGTTGTTATACTTACATTTTAAATATTGGCTATTAAAGCCCTGACTTTTTTGCCCACTCTTAGCTCGAGCAAACTTTCAAATTATAAAATAAATTCATCGCCTGTGACATATGGCTGAAAACCTTGAGCATTATCAGGGCAATTATTATTAGTATTATTAGGGCAATGGAAATAAACTTCCAGTTGAAAGGATTGCTTGTACAAGAGTACTCAGAAAATATGCAAAATTAGGACACCGCTTTCAACGATTGATTGTTTGTCCCAACGATTGTTTTTAACGATTTATTTAAAACTACTAATATATAGATTTTTTAAAACTCCCTCATAAGATAAATATTTTTGTTATAACCTGATTTAGATTACACAACTAAAATCTGTAATAGCTATTTACATTACAAGTGTAGTAAGAGCGTTTTAATTCACCTAAGTGATGTAAACACGCTCTTGCGTAACGTGTAACGTACAAGATTTTACCTGACCCGACAATATACTCGGGGCTACGTACAATATTTTTCACTATCCATTTCACTCATCTTCTAAGAGTAACGTTCTTTTACAAACAAAAGCTAGGTTAGGAGAATACTTTAAAGCATAACAATAACATTCAAGCGCTCAGCTGATTTCTAGCGTTGAACGTCGTGGGCTCCATAGAGGTATAATTTTTAAGTTATCCACTCAATGTTATTTAAATGGGTTTCATTACATCACCGAGTGAGTTTTTTGATACTTTACATCACTCGAGAAGTAAGGAAGTTGTATACATCACGCTTAGGATAGGGAAGTTTAACATGGCGGGTTAGGTAAAATACTGCACCCATTCGATCAGTGGTAGTTTCCAAATGGCGTATAATACTCTCTCCGTATTATTTGATCAGTGGTCATAATTCGAATGTTTATCTTTTGTACATTGTTTAGGTCGTATATAAGCATGATTTTAAACATATGTTCTGATTCTTTGTTTTGTTTACATTTACGTAGTTATTTTGTAACCACCATGGTAACACATATGGCCAATGTTAAAATTTAAAAACGTTGAGTCGCTTTTAAACTATATAGGTTTTAAACACGATTACTAGAAAAATACCGGTATGGATCATAAACATAAACAAAATGACGTTGTTGGCCCGAATCCTATACTAATAGCATTGAACATATGATTTGGCAGTTCCATTTAAGCAATGTTAGGCCTAAATAATGTTTATTTTCGGGCCTGGATCATTAACATAAACAAAATGACGTTGTTGGCCCGAATCCTATACTAATAGCATTGAACATATGATTTGGCAGTTCCATTTAAGCAATGTTAAATCATGTTTATTTTCGGGCCAAAAACGTCATTTGTTAATGTTTATGATCCATACCGGCATTTTTCTAGTAATCGTGGGTTTTAAACCTTCCAAACATTTGTCGAAACAACCTTGGTAAGTTTTGCATAAAATATGTTCACCCGTTATTGAGTGATAGTGTTAGAAAGTTTGCATTGAATCCGATATCAAAGAGCTTCGCTCCGCTCCGCTCAATAAGTTTATTCACATACATTGTAACAGTTCAACAAAGTGTAGTAGACAAACTCACGGCATGTTTCGCCTATTCAGGCTTCGTCAGGTGATCTCCTTGATTCATCCATTAATTTATAGAGTCGTCGATTAGATTCACATAAATGCCCAAATAACATAACAACTCACGAAAACAACATTTAAACATTTAAGGTAGGTCTACTAGACTAAACGGTCGCAGTACGGAGGCAGAGTGGCGGGAATAATAAATTTTTCCATCACAATTATATTGGCCATGGATCACACACATAAACTACTAGATTTGTTTGAATCAGAGTGTATATAAGTGGCAGGGTTATATGTCAGGCTTGTGTCAGGGTTTAATGGACCCTTATAATTGTTACAGTGTAATCGTTTTGCAAATACTGTCAGAGGTTTTCCAGATTTTTTTTTCTTACAGTTCTTCATTTTAACGTCGTTGTGTCATTGAAAACCCCTGAAAGAGCCTCGAGTCTTGACTTTTAAAATACAGTACTGTTAGATTTAGTACAGTAAAAATTTGTTTCTGTAGTAAAACAAGTACTAGTTTACCTAATTCTGAACCTAATTTTTGAACAATGGTCATTGTAAATTCATCAAAAGGTACTTTGGCTCAAAACCTGAAGCAGTTATCAAATGGTTAATAGTAAATTATTGGAGAAGATTGTTAGAAAAGAAATAAGAAAGTGTTGGTGAAAGCAGTCAAAGAACCAAACTATCGTCCAAACATTGTTATTTACCTTTCACATCCGTGATGTATGATAGACACTCGCATCTGAGCAAACGGAACTTTGGTGTATAAAAGTTGCTCAGACTTCAATAGCACCATCAGGTACATCCAAGATGAGGTTCTTGATAGTGGTAAGTAGAATAAGGTGTTCAATTTTTGTCTTTTACTACACCATAGAAATACCCCCGCCGCAGCAAACCTACAGACTAAGCGAATTTCAACTTGTCTGCTTACATTTATACTAAAATATTTCCATAAATAAGACATATTTATTCTCTATTTAAATAACATTATATAACGGGTGCTTAGGTTTGCTGCTACGGGGAAGGTAAAAAGTGTTTTTTTACCATACGTCAATAGTATAGGATGAAATACTGTTCTCAAGGTGGTGATAAATCTCTTGTATTTAAAAGACTGTTATCTCTTTTTAAAGTATACCTATGTTTACATACAAAAGTTGGTATATTGGTTACCGATATTAGTCGTACAATGTTGTCAATAACTGAGAGAATTTGAAAAAATAAGAAAAGCTGTTTTCCAAACTCTTTTACGCTCTAATTTAGCCGGGTAAAAATTGGGCGACTTAGCGAAATTGATAACCAATTTATATTTCCTTCTAGTCACAAGTATTAATTTATATTTCTGGAGCACAAGTATAAACCGAATGGTTTTAGACGATGTATTTTACTTTATCCGTGTATATCAATGTGTATGATGCTAGTCTATTCGTTAACAAATTTTAAAACTGAGAACTTTGTTTTCGTCATGTTTTGTACATTGAATGAACCTCCCAAAGAACTAACACATGAACAATATACGTACAAGCCACTAAGAAATTTGTAATAGAATTTGTAAGAAATTTGTTTGAAATATATACAATGAGAAATTTTTGTCACTGAATAAAATGAAAATTCTTTAAGACCCAAAACAAACTTTAAAAGTCTTGCTTTTTATTGTTTACGATCAATCAATTTGTTGATGGATGATTTTCGGGAAAGATGTTCCATTTTTGTAAATAAGTTATATATTTTTAGCGACGTTGTACATTCACTTTTGTTGAATGGTCTTTTCTTGGTGGTTCTGAACATTCACTGACACAGACCATGTTTTCAGTGTGCAGCCGCTGTGACGATGGCCGTGGTGGTCTTCGCTGAGATGGAGGCCAGGGGTTACGGTGGTGGATCTGGTGGTGGATATGGTGGTGGATCTGGTGGCGGTGGATACGGTGGTGGATCTGGTGGTGGATATGGTGGTGGATCTGGCGGCGGTGGATATGGTGGTGGATCTGGTGGCGGTGGATATGGTGGTGGATCTGGAGGTGGAAAGGCACAGGGAGGAATGAAATCCGGAGGCCAGAAGACTGGGGGAGGCTATGGAGGTGGCTACGGCGGCGGAGATTCCAATGGAGAAAGTTTCAGCGGCAGCTTCGGTAGCGACAAATCGCAGGGAGGGATGAAGTATGGAGGCAGCCAAGACAAAAAGTACGGTGGTGGTTTCCAAAAGAGCGGCTCGCAAAAAGGTGGGTTCAATGGTGGTTATGGAGGTGAAGAAAAGTCTAAAAACGATGGAGGATATGGTGGAAATCAAGGGTATGACAAGTACAACAAGGGTCAAAAGTCTGGAAACCAGGAAGCTTGTAAAGGAGGCAAACCCAGTTATGAAGGTCATGAAGACAGTGAAAAAGATTATGAAGGAGGTCATGATGAAGGTTATGGTGGAGATTATAAACAAGAAGGATATGGTAAAAGCAACTCTGGTTACAGCCAAGGAGGTAACTCTGGAAACAGCGGAAAAGGCCCCCAAAAGGGACCCAAGTTCGGTGGAATGGGTAAGGCCTACGGCAGTTACGGAAAAAAGAACTAGGATTTTTCCATTCACAATTTTTACAAAGCACATATTGTTAGTTATGATATTTACTCTTAATCACTAATAAACTGTTTAAATTCTTACTAACAAGGTATTTTTGTGAAAAAACCTTTCCATAGTAGTGTATGTTAAGATATGAGTATATTTTACTACTAGTACTTACAGTGACATATTTCTGGGCAAGACATGTAGTGGTTGATGAGCGGAGTGAACTATCGAGCCTTGAAATGGTTCTTTTGTGATGAGTACCTCGTGAATGATACTTTTTATCACGATGTGAAAATTCACACTAAGCATCTTGGTTTTAAATAAAAAATATAGACTATTATTTCATAGTCTAGTAATTATCTTAATAGTTTCATAGGCTAACATATGTTTAAAATTTATTTAAATGTCAGCTGCTAAAAATATATTTCTGGTAATAAATAACTAGGTGGCGTTCGTATCCGCGTCCACAAAATTTAGCGGAGTCATGAGGGCATTATTGACCCTCACCATAAAGCTTCAAAATTTTTTTTACCTACAATTTCAAATAGACAAAAGATTGTGTAGAAATGACTTTTACCTAACCCGCCATGTTAAACTTCCCTATCCCAAGCGTGATGTATACAACTTCCTTACTTCTCGAGTGATGTAAAGTATCAAAAAACTCACTCGGTGATGTAATGAAACCCATTTAAATAACATTGAGTGGATAACTTAAAAATTATACCTCTATGGAGCCAACGACGTTCAACGCTAGAAATCAGCTGTGCGCTTGAATGTTATTGTTATGCTTTAAAGTATTTTCCTAACCTAGCTTTTGTTTGTAAAAGAACGTTACTCAGAAGATGAGTGAAATGGATATTGAAAAATATTGTACGTAGCCCCGTGTATATTGTCGGGTCAGGTAAAATCTTGTACGTTACACGTTACGCAAGAGCGTGTTTACATCACTTAGGTGAATTATGCAACTCGCTTACGCTCGTTGCACAACATTCACTTGCGTGATGTAAAAACGCTCTTACTACACTTGTAATGTAAATAGCTATTTCATCACTCTGTATTCGTAAATAGCCCATTTCCATACAGCTGAGATCTTGGAAAATCGCAAATTTCCAAAATAATACAGAATAATACAACAAAAACAAATAGTGATCAGCTGACTTTTCCTGATATGAACATTACTTTCGTCACATAAACATTACTTTCGCTACATAAACAATACTTTGCCTGGCAAGGAAATGTATGCTTCAAGGAATGGTTAGTGTTCATCGTATATACAGTACTTTATGGTTCGCCAAAATTACAATCTAGTTGACTTTGGATACTGCAAGTAAACTTAACTTTATTTTGTAAAGTATGAAACCGGTTCTGACCTAACTGTATGTCCGGTTACATTTCAGTGCGTTAATGTCAGCTAAATTTGTGAATAAAAGAGGTATTTTCTTATTCAACTGTTTGTTCTTTTTTAACAAGTTTGTTTGGTGGTGTCTTGACGTCAAAATATTGACGAGATCCTGCGAGCGGAAGCGGAAATGCGCGTGAAATGGTGGCAAGAGGTTCTCCAGACTCACCAATGTAATATCCTGTCCTGGAGATGCAACAATATTGTACAATATTGCCCTTGTTACGAACACGTCTGACAATATTAATCAATTTAATTACTATCAATATTTATTAGGATTCACTTAAACCTCGCTTAATAAACTGAAATATTAAAAATATTCAAATCATCACGGTTAAGTAATAGGCCTATTGGTCCTCGAGTAAGCTTTACACACTTGGTCTAGCAGGATCAGCTGAATTGAACTTGATCATACAAGAATATGTTCTGTTGATCAATTTCAATTCAGCTAACAATAATTAGAATATTATTATGTTTTAGGTATTATTATTTTGCTTTTTTGTAATATTATCATCGTAAGATATTTACTACAAATAATTTTCGTGTTTTACGTAGGACTAGACTAGTTTATACAAAATCAATTAATGTAATCTTTATTCGTGTATGAAGATAGTAACAACACCAGGGTTTGGACCGTTCCCTTTCGGCTTTCATAACGTAAAAATACCAGTTGCGTAGAAAAAACGTGAAACAATTCATATCAATTGTAAAAAGATTGCCGTTGGCAAATCAATAAATAAAATATTAACTATTATATTGATGGTTTAAGAATTTTAAGTTCAATTGCGCTGACACTGTTTAGTTAAAAGTAAGTAATTAAATAAGGAAATCTAAGCACATAGGCAAATACTATCGAAACATATCCCATATACTAGCAGAGACAAGATAATCTTTTTTACAATTTAAAGTTCATTCTTATCATTTTCAACATTCACACGATCCACGATGTTATAGCGTATATTCTGTCCTAGAGGCACGTGTTGCAATGTACTTTTAAATACAACTAAATCAGTTTTACTATAATTGAGAACAGACTTTGGGGAGTGAGCTGGTCTAAAGTAGAGCACGGGACTTTGGAGCCCGAGGTCCTGGGTTAAAATCCCGCTAATCACCAATGGATATTGTCTATGTGATAATACCACGACCCTCTAGGAATAGCCTAAAGTAATGGGCAAAACAGTCTCGGGCTAGGATTTAGTATCCTACGGATGTGAAGGTGGGGAAAATGTACAGATTTTAAGTCCATGTCTACCAACAGCTCTGGTCTGGTCTGTTTATGGAGAACACGTGACTTGTTTAGTAAAATCTTTTTAGACTGTGGCCAATATTTCAAAACTCAAGGTCTTGAGGATCACACCTTGACTTCTATATCTTGAGTACAGTATTAGCGATTTGGTGGGGTATGATTTAGAAACAAATCTGTGTGGTTCTTGAAATTGCAGCATTCTGTTGCAGACCATGAGCAGCATGAACAGTCCGAGTACCCTCAGCTTCACCACGACGACCGGTACATCCTCCAGCAGACCTAGCAGTCGCCGCGGGTCGGTGTCTACAGCAGACGACACGTCCGAGTGTATGGAGCCATACTTCCAGCTCAGCCCGGCCCCCGCCACTACCTCGCAACCCTACAACTTCTCCCGCAGTCCCTCGCAATCTGTCAAGCGCAAGCCTCGCAAGAAGTGTAAGGACCTGAGCCACTTCAACTCCGTGCCTCCTATCGGTCACATGTCCAGGTCCAACTCCAACAGCTTCTCTCCCTCTCTATCGCTCATCTCTCCTACCGACTCGGGTCCCAAGAGTCCCAGGAGTTACCACGCTCCCAAGTCACCTCAGGAACACTCCCCCAGGATAGCCAATCGTTCCCCGTCGGAGCCCAAGTCACCAAGAAAGTCTCCCTTGACGCCGACGTCGAACCACTTCAATTTCCCTCCGAGCCCGTCATATTCTACAAAGAGTCCTGGCACGTCGAAGAGAAAGTTCTCGTTCAGCGGTCCTCCCAAAAGCCCGAAGAGTCCTAGCACGGTAGGTTGATTTAAAGATTGTAATTCAAGCCTGATTATACTATAATACAATTAAACGTGGTGAAAACAACCGTTGATAGCTTTTAAGACAAAACTCGCCATTCAATAATCTTCAATAATATAATTTCTTAAGCTTTCTTCCTTTTCTTTCTTTCTTAGAATGTGTAAGAGCGACGAGGGGCAATACATTAAACGTGAAAACTAAATAACACTGTTTCAACAGGATGAAGATAATTTAATACAATTTTCCATGGACTCTTTTGAATTTCCAATATCATTTATGTGCTTAAAAACGTTAACTCTGTGCTCTAATCGCATTCTACCCTTGAAATGTCCATTTAGCCACACTCATTTGTAACGGAATAATTTTCATCTTTCGTAAAAAAAACCTGACAAATTCCTAAGATGGATAAAAATAAAATAAATGAAATGATGTTAGCAGGAGTCCGCGGTTGACGGGGAGACAGTGGCCACTTCTCTCTCGAGGCCAAGTTCTCCGCGAGGCCTTGCCTACCTGGCCTCTCGTCGAGGAAGTAGAGAATCCAACATATCCAACGTATCCAACGAGGAGTTGGCACCTCTTAACTTCACCAACACAGCTCGTGGCAGACAACGTCGGACCTCCAACTTCCTCGAACTTCCAGGTTAGGACAATCGTTGACTTAAGGTTCTGAAGTAGACCCCCCATTATAGCTCATCATAGCTTAAATTTTAATGTATGTGAAAATAAGGTCATGGAGAATTCCGCTATGGAAATAGTACTGTTTTGCTTGATTTTAGATACATGGTATTTTGTGTACCAGTTTAAGCACCATGATGTCGTAGTCATGATTAACCGTATTTCGATAGAAGCACCCTCTCGAACGCTCAATTAAAATGTTTTATGGCTAGAACAACGGAATGAAATGCCTTGTTCGTTTCAACTACCTAACTTTCTAAAATGGCAATAGAAAATTAATCTTGACTCTATACAGTGGTAATATCACTATTGACAATTAAGTTAGCTCTGAACATCGATTGGTCTGTGACATGTCAGATCGGATATTAGGAGACCCTAGCAATGCTGGTAACTGCTTCAATCACTGAAACAGTTGGAGTGGTGGTGGGTGGGTGGGTAGGGTAGTTTGGAGTCGTAATAGAGTCGTTTTAAAAGTTGTCTGTATAGATAGGAAAGATAGGATTAAAAGTTCTGCTGCACATTGAATGAGTTGTTACGATTTGGTTAGCAAAAGTGGCTGTCAGAAGTGCAATTACTTATTCTGCTGTTGAGGTTTAATTCAATAACTATGCAATTCCGAGGCAAAATGGCATTGTTTGAACAAATATTATGATCAAATAATCATACTACCATTTTATTGGCTGTATGTAAGATAAGAAACTTTCATTTCCAAAGTTTAACTTATCATCGCAAAAGCTGTTAACAACTAGAATACTCATGCAACTGTGATTGGAGCAATCCGTAGCCTGATACAGTAGTAGAAATCATATTCTGATATCGATTTAGTTGCTACGACAAAAATACTGAACGTCTTAGTATAGGATATTGTAGAACCTAATTTGGGTAATGTGACGATTACCTATAACCTATTACCATAGACATTATTTTATTACCTACTATAATAGAGGTGGTTGCACTTCTTTTTTCAACTTATCCCATACCTGTTCCCCCTTAGTATCAACTTCATCTCTTTTAGAGACGACTTTTGTCAGAACGCAAAATAACGTCGACTCCACCCGACCTATTCACTTTGGCAACAGACGGACCGAGATATTAAAGTCACCGAGAGGTACAAGCTACGTTTCATCACTGTTTTAATTACATTTACCTTCAGTCTCAGCGAGATAACAAAGCGCACTTAATTAATTCCATAATTTTGTCACGAAACTAAACAAACCAGTTAAATTGCCTCTGACCTGCGCGCTTTCAAAGTAATCGCCTCACGCCCCTGTTTAACTATCCCTATCTAATATATAAAATTCTCGTGTCACAGTGTTTGTCTGCAAACTCCTCCGGAACGACTTCACCGATCGTTATGAAATTTGGTGTGTAAATTCTGTAGGTATGCGAATCGGACGTAAACTATTTCCCGTTTCGAAATTCTTAAAAGGGCTCCGCCCCAGTGGCTCTGGAGTTTCCCATGTTAACCTTATGAGAAATGGAATTAATGAATCTTAACAGCTGTTTCAATTAAACAAGTTGGTTCTGTTCTATGATGTTCAATAGCATTAAAGTTACAAGGATTACCAACAGGGTGCAGCACTATTATTTCTTTAACATTTATGACAACAGCTAATTTGCAACCAAAAGGTGAGTGAGCGTAGCGAACGAACTTCAACCTGGAGGCGAGTTAGCGTAGCGAACGAGCTAACCTGAAGGCAAGTGAGCGCAGCGAACGAGCTCCAACCTAAAGGTGAGTGAGCGTAGCGAACGAGCTCCAACCCAAAGGTGAGTGAGCGTAGCGAACGAACTTCAACCAGGACGTGATTGAGTGATGCGAACGAGATCATCTTGAAAATTAAACGTAACGGTACTTTCTTTCCATCGGTCTGTCTTAGGGGAAACCTATAACTTAGGCGATACGAAGTTCGCCGGGTCAGCTAGTCTATCTATATATTAATAGGCAAGCATGTTTCTTTAAAACCTTTTTTCTCAGCTCGTGTGCATCGTAGGGAAAATCTACGCATACCGTTGGAAAGCTATTTTCCTGTAGGTGTGCAGAATCCCTTTATAAATTTAAATAGGCTCAAAGATAAGCACAAAAAATGAGTTTAAAAATTTGAAAAAATTAACATGGATCTTATGCGTTGCTATGCTGGTTACGAAATAACAACGAAATATAAACAGAAAATCAAAACAAATGAAAGAAACTCCAATCACATGTTTTATTTACAGTGTGGGGTGAAAATAGATAAGTGAGTACATTACATATTTTTGGTCGAGTTTCGACCACTGGACGACCTCTCGTCTATATATTAATAGGCAAGCATGTTTCTTTAAAACCTTTTTTCTCAGCTCGTGTGCATCGCAGGGGAAGTCTACGCATACTGTTAGAAAGATATTTGCCTGTAGATGTGCAGAATCCCTTTATAAATTAAAATAGGCTAAAAAATAAGCACAAAAAACGAATTTGAAAACTTCAAAAAATTAACATGGACCAACTGGGTTGCCATGATGGTGACGAAATAACAACAAAATGTAAACAGAAAATCAAAACAAATGGAAGAAATCCCAATCACATGTTTTATTTACAGTGTGGGGAGAAAATAGAGAAGTCTGTACATTAATTATTTTTGGTCGAGTTTCGACCACAGGACGACCACTAGTATATTTAATTATGCTATTTCAACGTTCGGTCAATGTCTAGTCAAGCATCTCAACGAAATTAGTTTTAAATAATAATGAAAAATGTGTGTCCGTTTAAAAGGTTTAATCCTACATAACCACGTTGACGGTTAATTAATGAATGTAGTTTGATTTTTCCTCGACGCCTACATGTTTGTAACATCGTTTACAAAACTGACCTTCTTGCTTTCCAAGCCCACGCCTTTAATGTAACCACCTTAACCTAAATTACAATAAAAATAACATTTGTCAACGACTTGATTTTATTTTTATTCTTCGTTTATGACGAACCAAACTGAGTGATGATTTCAAGCTAGAGTTACAGCATCAATTAACAGTCGAAATATTATGTATACAATGAAAAAAAAACTATTAACAAAATACATTCCAATTATAATTTGGTAAAATATTTTAATCGAAATTGTTCAATTAGTTGACAAGGAGGCGAAGTTAACATGGAATAATATACACCTGAAATTTCTTTTTAGAGATTAAAAAACTACTTTAGCCCTACAACCTATGCTATGAGAGTAACCGTTTATACTTAAGTATGACGAAAATACATAACTGATGGATTTCCTTTATATAGTTTGCTAGGAATAAAAATTCGCCATATTATGTCTTGGCCATCCAACTTGTATACTTCGCGTTCAACCACATGATAAATTTGGATATCCTTTGGTTTCAGGATGATTGACAGAAGTAATTTTTTTAGTTGTGAAAACAAATTCTAAAGATAACATCCAATTTTGCAGTGGTCAGTAAACCTATAAATATGGGTCACCGGAATTTTTTCTCCCTGAAATTTTACCACCTGGGCAAAGCTGGCGCCACTATGACGTAGTAACCTGAGTGCTCTCAAGTTTGTTCGCGGGCGAAATTTTACCCCCGTGGATTTAAGAGTTTAACGAAAATAGACATCGTGTGATAAATGAGATTAGCAATGAAACCCGGAATTTTACCCCCTGTCCATATAACTAGCATCTAGGCAACTGTAGATGTACGACACGGATTTTTACCCCCGGATTTTTATCCCCAGATTTTACCCCCAGATTTTTACCCTCGGAATTTTACCCCCTTGTACAGATATAGAAATTAGTAAGAATAATTAATTTTCTTGTTTCAGTTTTGATTGAATAGTAACCATTCTATTTTTAAGTAGCCAATTTTAATTAATTTGTAACCTCAACTAAGTAAACAAGTTTCGCTTTTTTAATTTTGAGTATGATAAATCGTTAAAGAAATGTTTGAAACAATAAATTATTATTCATATGGGCTGCTCAGTTTGTTTACGTATACATTAACCAACAGTTGGTTCCAAAAACCGAATCCTGAAACTCGAATTTCAAAATTAGAACATAAAACAGGTTTTATTAGTTGAGGTTACAAATAAATTAAGATGGGCTACTTAATAATGTAATGTTTTGAAAGAAGAACATTTTTGAATTATTCTCACTAATTTCTATATCTGGCCAGGGGATAAATTCCGGGGATAAAAATCCGGGCCGTACATTTTAAGCTGACCTCATGAAGGGGGTAAAACCGGGGATAAAATTCCGGCCTGTACACTCCACTCTAAGTTTTATAATTTGATGAGTTCTGATTAAATTCGTAAGCGTGAAAATATTCAACCTTTAATTTATTGAACTGATGTTGTGCAACTCAAAAAATCGTGGCTGGAATTTTACCCCCTAGGTTGTGACGTCAGTTTTACTCAGGGCTAAAATTCCAGGGGGATAAAATTCCGTTACCCCTAATGTAATGATTTACTTTTCTGCACCTGTAGTAATGTTTACTCTTGTCTTGTCCAGTCCCTGACCACATAAGGCCGAGAGTCTGCAGTCTACCGGAGAAGCCGTACAACCCTCGGTCGGGTGATGAGCTCTACCGCCTCCGGACCTTCAGTATCACCAACAAGGGGGTGGTCAACTACGGGGACAGCATCATCAATAGACGGTCCAGGTCTAACACTAGCGTCAACTCCACCGCCAGCAGGTAGGCCTACCGTCACTTACCATTACTTAACTCATGGCTAGCTACTTATCATATACCTCCGGACCTTCAGTATCACCAACAAGGGGGTGGTCAACTACGGGGACAGCATCATCAATAGACGGTCCAGGTCTAACACTAGCGTCAACTCCACCGCCAGCAGGTAGGCCTACCATCACTTACCATTACTTAACTCATGGCTAGCTACTTATCATATACCTACGGACCTTCAGTATCACCAACAAGGGGGTGGTCAACTACGGGGACAGCATCATCAATAGACGGTCCAGGTCTAACACTAGCGTCAACTCCACCGCCAGCAGGTAGGCCTACCGTCACTTACCATTACTTAACTCATGGCTAGCTACTTATCATATACCTACGGACCTTCAGTATCACCAACAAGGGGGTGGTCAACTACGGGGACAGCATCATCAATAGACGGTCCAGGTCTAACACTAGCGTCAACTCCACCGCCAGCAGGTAGGCCTACCGTCACTTACCATTACTTAACTCATGGCTAGCTACTTATCATATACCTACGGACCTTCAGTATCACCAACAAGGGGGTGGTCAACTACGGGGACAGCATCATCAATAGACGGTCCAGGTCTAACACTAGCGTCAACTCCACCGCCAGCAGGTAGGCCTACCATCACTTACCATTACTTAACTCATGGCTAGCTACTTATCATATACCTACGGACCTTCAGTATCACCAACAAGGGGGTGGTCAACTACGGGGACAGCATCATCAATAGACGGTCCAGGTCTAACACTAGCGTCAACTCCACCGCCAGCAGGTAGGCCTACCGTCACTTACCATTACTTAACTCATGGCTAGCTACTTATCATATACCTACGGACCTTCAGTATCACCAACAAGGGGGTGGTCAACTACGGGGACAGCATCATCAATAGACGGTCCAGGTCTAACACTAGCGTCAACTCCACCGCCAGCAGGTAGGCCTACCGTCACTTACCATTACTTAACTCATGGCTAGCTACTTATCATATACCTACGGACCTTCAGTATCACCAACAAGGGGGTGGTCAACTACGGGGACAGCATCATCAATAGACGGTCCAGGTCTAACACTAGCGTCAACTCCACCGCCAGCAGGTAGGCCTACCATCACTTACCATTACTCAACTCATGGCTAGCTACTTATCATATACCTACGGACCTTCAGTATCACCAACAAGGGGGTGGTCAACTACGGGGACAGCATCATCAATAGACGGTCCAGGTCTAACACTAGCGTCAACTCCACCGCCAGCAGGTAGGCCTACCATCACTTACCATTACTCAACTCATGGCTAGCTACTTATCATATACCTACGGACCTTCAGTATCACCAACAAGGGGGTGGTCAACTACGGGGACAGCATCATCAATAGACGGTCCAGGTCTAACACTAGCGTCAACTCCACCGCCAGCAGGTAGGCCTACCATCACTTACCATTACTTAACTCATGGCTACCTACTTATCATATACCTACGGACCTTCAGTATCACCAACAAGGGGGTGGTCAACTACGGGGACAGCATCATCAATAGACGGTCCAGGTCTAACACTAGCGTCAACTCCACCGCCAGCAGGTAGGCCTACCATCACTTACCATTACTTAACTCATGGCTAGCTACTTATCATATACCTACGGACCTTCAGTATCACCAACAAGGGGGTGGTCAACTACGGGGACAGCATCATCAATAGACGGTCCAGGTCTAACACTAGCGTCAACTCCACCGCCAGCAGGTAGGCCTACCATCACTTACCTACTCATCAACGAACAGCTGTTCTGCAACTCTTTGTGTTCGTTGTACATCTTACTTTAACGATCGAATTTTAACATGTATAATTCAACAATGAACTTCCGGAAACATTCGAAATTTACTAATAACTAAGAGCTCCGTATATCCTTTCTTTGCTGATTTTTTTTACCTTAGGGTAAAAATAAACTACAACAACAAAGTCCTAAAATAACCGATATCATAGCAGTATTACAAAAATTGGGACAATAATCTGAATTTTGAGCAAAATAATTATTTTTATAAGCGCAGCTTTGTGATTTCTTATGCAAAACACTGCTTGAACCTGAACGCTTGAACGCTCTGTGCATGTCCCAATTAACATACAAAGGGAGGTTTAACGACACTTTCCCCACAAACTGTCCTGAGGTCACGTAAGGTCGCGTGATTGTTTTATCACTCTTATCTAAGACATTCTGACCTCTCATCCTCAGGTCAGTCTTCTAGATGCGTCCAAATATATCGAAATATATAACTTTAAGATTTGTTAAAATTTAACACATAGTATTTTATTTTCATTTTTAATAAAAAGGTTTACTGTTTAATTATCAAATAATAACTTTTTACCGATTGTTTGCTATTTGACTACTTATTGTTTTATTAAGTTGCTAATTACTTTCTCCCCCTATACCATAGTATATGGAGAAAGTATTGTTTTCGTCAAAATTTTCGAGTTTGAGTTTTGAGTGGATATATTCGTTTTGGGTCCCCCTGGACCCAAAAAAGTGGTTTTCGAAGTGATGTCTGTGTGTGTGTGTGTGTGTGTGTGTGTGTGTGTGTGTGTGTGTGTGTGTGTGTGTGTGTATGGATCTATCTAACTATGGGGCCGTGTGTGTGCATCAGCCAACACTCGGGGGTTGCCACGGTTATTTTCGTGGTTATTATCTGTGTTATTTTCGTATTGTATGACCACTTTCCTCCATTTAAACAATGCTAATACTCCTTTTACATTGTTTAAATGGAGAAAAGTGGTCATACATAACACAAATAACACGTTTCTCTGTTATTATTTATCCATTCTTAACAAATAAGGTATCATTGAAAACTAAATAAAATTTACTAACTTTTTGTGTCTTGAAAATTTTTTGTTAAGTTAACAGTTTTCGTGAAATTTGGCATAAAATATTTTAAATGTCCGCCATTTTGAAACGGTTAATGATTTTTTAGTATAATTTCTAACCATAATAGGTCTAAATAAGATTAACAGTTTTGCAAAATATCAACGCTGTAACCAAACCGTTTAGGAGTTATTCGTTTTCTTGTAAAAAAACACATAAATACAGACAGGCGGAAAACTAGGTACACAGACCCATGTTCCTAAGGTGAAATGTGCTTGTCTTGACCTAAGGAATAACGCTATATACATATGTCCAGAGAGTTACGAGACACCCTGTATTATTATACTCGTGGTTCAAGGACTTGGTAATGTTGCATATTTGGTCGGTATCAACTGTAATTAGTAAGGTAAAGTATTTTACGCCACACTACACTGTTTTAAACTGATATATTTGTTAAATAACGTGTTTCTGATACCTTACCAATATACAAAAGTAGATTAGTGATCAAAATTAATTATAAACAATGCTAATCGATGGTGTGGAAATAAAAATTTCAAACTCATAAAGTATCTACAAAAATCTCAATACAAAACTAATTAATTCATGGACTCTCTTACAAATTTAAAGGACATAAATCAAGCTGTTACTACAGTTTTCTTTCATCCATTCACACTGTACACTGTACAGCAGCTCTTTCAGCCAAGGTTAATTTCGCCTAAAGGTTACAGCTACAGATCCTCCAATCAAGGGCAATAAATAACGCCAGTGAAGGAAAGACCAATTCCCCCCTCCTCTCACGCCATCCTTGCTAATTAATCTTTCAATTTCACCAACACCTTGGCAAGACAGCTTCCCCACTGTGTACTTAAGGGCCTTTTCAATTTCAAATAATTCAAACAAATGCCATTACCAGAAAATTTATCGTGTTATGATAATACGCATTCTATTTAAATGTTTGTCTGATTATTCTTTTCTTATTCGTTATTACTGTGGATTGTTAATTATGAATATTGGTATTGCATTAAAACTCTATTTTTCTTTACTGTTTGTGTTTAGAGAAGCAAAATAAATTATGCACCGTATAGTAATTTTTTTGCAAATATGTACCAGGGAAACTAATGGCATTAACTATGGGCATAGCCTATAATCTGTATGTTTCCGTGGCCTGTCGTACATATAGCTGATATATGTACGTAGTTTTCTTTTGTGTATTAACATTTTAAAGCTAAAAGCTGACATATAAGTAGTACAAAATTTATGTATTTATGTATTTAAGTATTTATATATTTGAGTTGTAACAACTGTCTGTCCCGTACGTTAATGTTTTTTTTTTTATATGCTATGACTGGTAACGTCATAATACATTATTAAATTGTCGATTTTTAGCCAGGCTAAATTTACATGATATTATGTACAGTACATTTTTAAATATATTTAAAATTTAGGATGTGTTTAAATATATTTAAAAAAGGATTAATTGAAAATGAACACTTATTGTTTAACTGTTGTATTATAACCTGCACATTTTACCAAATTAAATCTCTTAATTCCAGGATGAGCCTACATCTTACATCTAAATGCAGCAGGCTGATGAGCTATTATGTTGTAGGCACAGCAACCACAGTGGTATCAGCAACAACAGTCCCTGGGAAGGTAGTTGTTGTGGTAGCAGCTACAACAACGTGAGCACAGAGACAAGTGGAGAAGAGGTTGCCAAGTACAGGGTCGTGTTGTTGGGGGACTCCGGTGTGGGGAAGACTGCCCTTGTCTCTCAGTTCATGACCTCAGAATACATGAACACTTATGACGCCTCTTTAGGTACCTAGGAGATTCTAAATTTTCATAAATTACAGTGTAAGTTATCTGAACCAGACTTCACTTATCCGAGCCAAAAATGAAGAAACTAGAAATTGGGAGGTGACTGAAAAAAATAACCGTTACCCTCATTTTTGCTACGAGATGGCCAATATTTTTGTTGGTAAATTTACACCAATAAGCTTTTGATATTCACTTTTTGGGAGTATTTTAACTCAAATTTGAATAAAAGATGGGTGTAGAAGGTAGTGAAGTAACTTGTTCAGCTTGTTACTACCAAGATAACTTGTTTAAGTTCACTTCGTTAAAGTAGTGACACACTTTTATTTTTGTTATATGTAGGATATTATAATGAAAATGAACACAGTAAATAATAGAGTTTGATGGCCGTTTTTACTGACTGAGACCAGCTAAAACTTTACACAGGACCATTTTATGCCCAATAATCAAGAACAGCTGGGCTGTGTTTGAAAACGTCAAAAGATATTTTTTTCTCAGGATTGAACCAGAGACTTTTTGATCCTACTACTTATTGGCCAACTCCTAAACTACTCGACTGCTAGATATCCTGCTACTTCTTGGCCAACTCCTAAACTACTCGACTGCTAGATATCCTGCTACTTCTTGGCCAACTCCTAAACTACTCGACTGCTAGATATCCTGCTACTTCTTGGCCAACTCCTAAACCACTCCTGCTAGATATCCTACTTCTTCTTGGCCAACTCCTAAACCACTCCTGCTAGATATCCTGCTACTTCTTGGCCAACTCCTAAACCACTCCTGCTAGATATCCTACTACTTCTTGGCCAACTCCTAAACCACTCCTGCTATATATCCTGCTAGTTGCGAGACGGGGACGGACCAAGACCATTGGGAGGTCACTAACCTTGCTCTTAGGTTGTTTTATAGAATAAATGTTCGACAACCTAACCCAGGCCCAACTTTATATAGGCTAAAATATAATACAGTTTAATTATTTTCAGACGACGAGTTTGGGGAGAAAACAGTATCCGTTTTGTTGGATGGGGAAGAATCTGAAATGGTCTTCATTGATCATCCAAGTGTCGAAATGTCGGTAAGTTCATCCAACAAAATATCTATTCATATTTTTCTTTCTTAAGCTTCGATAGAAACTACTACGATTTATTAACAGAAAGGGATATATTTATTTAATGACTACCCTAAATCGAAAATTTTGTTAAAGATGGAAATGAACTAATACTATTCAACTGAACAAAACACTTCATTTTTATTTTGTTTGGTTTTTACTCTTGAGAATAATTTTTTAATATCATATGTAATACAAATAAAAGGTATCAGCAAACTGACACATACTTTTCTCCAATAAGCTTGACATTAAAATTGAACATCCTACTACTTTTCTGAGAAAATCATTATTATGGGTAAACAGAGGGGGTAACTATGGAGTTTTATGGGGGAAATTGCAAAAATTGCAACTATACTTTTGAACCCTCAAAAAATGTGCAGTGATAATTGTGATTACAACTAAGTTCAATGTAACTTAAGCCTATGGGTTTGAGTTTATTTTTTACTTACTAGAGTTAAATATTTATGTGCAGTTTATGGCTATAAGATAGGTTAAAAGTCACTCTTAGCGTTGTAAAATTATGGCCCAGATACCTCAACTTACCTTGTGTATTTTTTGGGATGGTGTATATTTGGATGTTTGATTTTGAAGTCACGAAGTGATGCTAGCTGCTAGTAGGCTATTATTACTAAATTGAACATATTTCTATATACTTTTATATAACCTTAGAAAAATTTGTATAAAGTGGTTCAACTCCTAAAATCCCACTTAGCCGGATAGTCCAATGTTTGCACCTGACCCAGCTATATTCAGCCACTCGAGAGAAGACGAGAGCAACTCCGTGAGGCTGTAAGCCGCAATGACTGGGATAAGCCGGCTTATATTTATCAACAAAAGTGTGCGAAGCTGTGAAATGGCAGTGGTAAATTCCCACCATTGTCTCAGACTGAACCTTTAGCTCCGCAGTAAACTTGCTCCTTGGCATTTACCCATTTACCTCAAGGGTCGTTTGTTCGATGGGATAACTATTAAGGTATTACCCCAGGTAGAGAAAACATTGTAAAAATGTAGTGCCCATATTTATTTACACTTTTAAAATCTTAAGAAAATCCATCCATATATTTCTATTTACTTTCGAAATAAGTTTTTTAAAAGTTAATTCTTAATTTATCACAGCATGAATTTTAATTGCCTGTGAAAAATGTTATTATTCCATGTTCTGAGAAAATGAGTAAAGCAATCAAAAGCTAAAGCTAGTGACAAATATAGTCATGACACGCTTGAAATATTCAATGAGTATACCTGTTGCTTGAATTAAAGCATTATGTGCCTTTGGCGTAGATATTTAATTCAAAATATGGAGAAAAGCTAATCTGAAAAATATCTTATTCCAAAAAAATGTGAGCGAACCTTTCAGAAAACATTTGCTTCCATTTTACAAGAGGGTTCTCCTTATTAACTAATTTGTTTAAAGTTGAAAAGATGGCTCAACATTTAGTTCAGTACTTATACAATTTTATGTAGTTGGATGAATTTAAAAATCTAGAGTAAAATAATACTGATCAATATAAACAATTTTCAACAGATGCCTTTTCATTTTTAAAACTTGATGTTTTCGAAAGGAAGAATTCAAGAGCAGGCTAAATTTTAGAAAACAAACCGACTAGATTTTAGAATCTATTTACGCAACTATTAATAACCTGTTTTGGTCAATTCTTAATGAATACTGTGTATGGATACTAATACATACTTTCCTATAAACTGGATGATTGACCAGCGACAGTTGGCAATGATGGAATGAAGGTAGCCAAAAGCAGTGGTTATTGACTCGCAATGAATGAGTGAAGCCTGGTACATGAATGGGTTGCTAGGAAACCACCTCAACAAGCTCAGGGTTGGTCTATCTGTAAAGCAACTCATCTCTTGCAACAGCAACTGTGCAGAATCGTTGTCACAGACAACATTTTGAAGTGTCTTCAATTGAAAAACATTTATCTATTTTGTTTCAATGTAAATTTTGTATTTGGCACATGAGAAATATTCGGAGATCGAACTATCATGTTTACATTAATAAAACAAAAGTATTCATACTTTTATTTGGTTGGGAAAATGGTCCAACATGTTTCCCATAGGATAAATGTAGTATATTTTTGAAAAATCCAAAGTGCAAAATATTAAATTTTGTATAGTACCGGTAAATAGATTGCCAAAGAAAACTTGATACTGGTAAATTACATTTAAAACTACTGCTGATTTTAGCTTTAAAAAATATATCTGCTAATCTAGACGATAGTAACATAAAAATTGTCAATACTTTGCTGTAGTTTTATAGAGATTATAGATTTAGAGCTAGTGTAATAATTAAAAAACAAACATTTGTGATAGAATGGTGAAATGAATAATTTGAGTCTCTGTTATCTAGGCATCTAACGTATTCATTCAAATGTCATTCATCAAGAAACTTTTGCAGCTTCCTTGTTTCAAATTATCTCACAACTTTACTGTTGTTAAGCTCCTAACAAGAACTCGATACGCTTGTTTTAGCCATTTGTGTTTCATCTGTTTAATTAACTGTGTAACTCAGTCGTAATCAAGTGTAACTTTTTAAGCGTTAAAAATTATAAAAGGTGATATTCTGGAATCATAGATTTACGTTAGACCAAATGGTAAATTTATTTAAATTATATACTTGGGTACAATATGTAGAGGGTGGGCAAAAAGTCAGTATACCCACTGCTGCAAAATTTCACCAGCCCCATACCGTAGTATAGGGAGTCTGGAGAGCGACAAGATGGCAAATACAAAGTGTTTTCACTATTGAGGAGCATCTGGTGGCTTGTGTTGGGGATCGTGAACTTCCAAGAAGTAGAAAAACTATGGATGAACTGATGGAAAGCATTGTTGTACGTTTTGGAAAACTGTCACCAAATCAAAAAACTTTGTTGATAAGTCATATCAACAAACATGATGTCAACAAACAGTCATGATGTTGGCAAACAAAGCTTTTGGAACGGGAAGTGTTCTTATGCTCCTTGTAGTGAGAGGCCAAGCACTCGTGTTGATGTTGAGGAGTCAATTCAGCGATCGCCAATGAAATCAACGTGTTAACGTTCAGCAGAGTTAGACGTTCCACGGTCGACTATGAGAGTTTATATTCTAAAAGATTTGTTGGAAAGGATGAATCAACGGTAATGATGCCGAATCAAACTGTGCTTTGACAATGGTGGGATGCACACAGATGTTTTGGATCCCTAATAATTTAAACATTGTAAAATGAAAAAAAGAGTTGAAATATTAATGTTCTACGGTACTGTACTTAACACTTGATTTATTTATTTACTCCCCCAGTGATAAAGACTTTTCACCCACCCTGTACATCTCACAAGCGGCAATGATTGTCGTGCCTTAGTGCAATTTTTTAAGAGGTCAACAGTTTTGACTAACACTGGTTTGCTTATTGTCATACTACAAATAAATTCCTTTTCATTCCGTCTGATATCAAGCTAAGGATTAAGAGAAACAGTTTTTAGTTTTAACTGAATTAATTGTGAAAATCACAACAGATGACCCATGCTGCTCCGAACCGTTGAAATAAACATCATATAATGATAAAACACTTTATGATTTCGATGAATTGTAGGTTAGTTGATTGATTTAGTTTTAAGCCTAGTGACACCATTCAATGTATGTGACTGTATGCCATATGAATAAAGATATTTTTTTCATTCGTTTAATTTCATTTCAAGGTATGGAATTTGATCCCTAGTGGGCAAAATATTACCACACAGTAGCAACATACCAATGGGCAAAGAGTGAATTTTAAAGAGAATATTTTGAAGGTAGCCTAATAGGAAGATCATAGAACAGGAGGGAGAAAATGTGCATATCAAATCCATTAAATTAGTTTGTAGGTTTAAGATTATTTACAGCATTTCCAATACGTATACCAATATTAACGAGCGTAAAACTCAAAATTAAATTTTTTATTGAAAAACTAACTATAGGTCGGCCGCTTAGAAAACGACCTCCTCCAGCATTGGTTTAGCATTAGCGCTCAGGTCGTTTTCTAAGCGGCCGAACTATAGTATATAATTTGATTTTGTTTGAACACAAAAATTACCAAACCACAGCAATATTAGAAACCAGATTCCTGAGATTCATTTTTCAACCAAAAATAGTTGTACAGAGCCAGCAATATTTATAGTAAAGATTCTTTCAACAGGTGGAAAACTCTCTGTCAACGTATGAGCCACACGCTTGCGTTGTTGTCTACTCCATCGTGAACCGAGCCTCCTTCAAAGTTTCCGAGGATATCCTCAACTACTTGTGGAGGGAAAGTTATACCAAAGACAAGAGTGTCATCGTAGTGGGCAACAAAGCTGACCTGGCGAGGTCAAGGGTCATAACTGCCAACGGTAAGTGGAGGGAATAAACAATGTGTTGATGCAATTACTTAAGATGAAATCTTTATAAAATCCAATGTATGTTTGTTTGTCGTTTTTTTGTCCTTAGCTTTACCAAACCGGCCATCTGATCGTGATTAAACTTTGGAAGTTGTTCTATACACTCCCGGAAAGGTTTCTGTCCCATTCTCGCTCTAGAACTCCCTCTAGTAGCTCTGCCCCCCAGTGGCTCTGAAATTTCCCATGTTTACCTTATGTGAATTCATATTTAAATACCCCGCACCAGCAAACCAGCAGACTAAGTGAATTTCCATTTACCCGGCTTGATTTGATTTCTACCAAAATATTTCCTGAAAATTGTCAGATTAATTCCCTATATTTAACAAACATAAATTTTAGTAATTTCTTAGGTTTGCTGCTACGGGGAAGATATTGAGGAGTGTTCTCACTATCTTGTACTACATCGCTAATGCTGTAGGAAGACCCTGTGCACTGTACAAAAATGCTATGTGACCATCGCCGTTTGGGCTCTTCCTAGCTCGGTACGAGTACATTTCCGCCCCACCATACCAGAGCTAAAAGTGCACGGATGTTCCATAAGCTTGTGTCCTCCGTATCTTACTTCTCTGTGACTCAAAATTGAACACCAGTAACCGTCTATATGCAGCAACTGTTTTACAATGGTAGTCATATTTTGGTATAAAGTTAACATTTAATATACCATAGTCATAATTGATTCCATACATGATATTCATCTTTTTATACAGAGGGCAAAGCTCTAGCGGCATCACGAGACTGCAAATTCATAGAGACCTCGAGTGGTATCCAGCACAATGTGGACGAGCTGCTGGTCGGCGTCCTGAAGCAGATCCGACTGAGGGAGACTAGGGAAAAGAAGCGCGCAAAACGTGGCGTCAAGCAACTCCATGGCTCAAAGACGTCACTGTCGCTCAATATTGCTCGCGAGATCCTCCACAAGATGTGTCTCACTGACAACAAGTCCAAGTCCTGTGAGAACCTACATGTTTTGTGAGCAGAGGTCAGTTGGGTTATCTTTTGGCCTGTATTGACTGAACATATTTCATCTTTTATCTGCTCTACAAATAGGCAGACGTTTGAAGAAGACATAGAATCTAAAGTATTGTAAATTATGTTACAGTATATTCTCAACTTTTTCAGATATTCTAAATCTGACCTTTCCTGGAAGACAATCTAGTACCGTAACGCCCTCACTTAAGATTTCAAGTGTTTTAACCAAATAGCTTTTATGTCCTATTTTATTCTAGTAATTCAATTTCTCTTCTGTAGGACAGTCCGAGAAAGCCTCGTAGAGTTTATCGCATCGACCGTCAGCGTCAGACAGTCGCTCGGACCAACAACTACATTCTAAAACCACTCAACTCTTCCTTCCAATGCTTCTACTTCTTCTGTGAGGCAAGTGGTGCAGTGGCTGAGACTCAAGTTTAGGTTCTTTGAAAGATAAACACAAAGTTCTAGAGCACTCAGCGCCAATCAGCTCAAAGTAAGAACAAATACTCTGATCGGAGTAAGCAGAGGATAGGGTATGTTGGAATCATAAGTGTGTGTGACTATTTAGTATGAAACTGATGCTGTTGTTGAAGAACTATAATTGAAATTCTCTCAGAGAACATCATATTGTGCTCCTATAGCACAAAGTTTGTATATCGCTCAAATGACATGCCACATTATCAATACTTGTGTGAAACTAATCTTCTTACAAACTGTGAGACTTTATGATCTGATTCTATATTGTTTGATTAGAATCTTTTATCTCTGTTCAATCTTTTTGCAGCGCTGTCTTTAGTAAAAGTGAGGCTTTTTTCTGGTTCAAAATCAAGGCAACAGAAGGAGTAAATCTGGCTAAATCTGGCACATGTTTTATAAACTTTGCAAAGCTGAGCTTGGAACACAATTACAGCCCAAATACTCCCTTCTTTTTTATGAACTACAATTTCATCATGCATAATCGGCTCAATGTAGTAAAAAAGTATTTTTATTGAATGTTTTTGAGACCATTGTTCAGACATAACTATACAAAGTGTGGTCTATGAGCAATATACAATTTTTGGTTAACATGTTAACCAAAAACAACATTTTTTTCCGTATTGAAATATTCTGAGGATCATTTTGGGCAGCATCATTTTGTGCTCATACACCCACTTATACTTTTCAATTTATTGTAAATTTTTTTTTAATATTCTGCTCTGTGATACTTTTGCACTCCCCAAGAATAAAACCAATCTAAAAAACAGTAAAGTCTATTGTGTAACATTACGTTTTTGTTATCTTATTTGACCAATTTAAAATATTCCTCTGATAAAACATTATTGCAGCTTTTAAAATTAAAAATTTCAATGGTTGTCAGAGTCACCCTGTGCAGGACTTAATTCTATTCAAAAGACAGCGCTGTCTACTTGTTGAGGGTAAATATGCAAACATTGCTTTGTTTAAAAATCTCATCACATTAAGAATTCACATTTCATCATATTTTTTTTATTTTATATTTTATTTTAATTCAATGGAAATGGAGGTGATAATTTGTTCATATAATCCAACAGGAATGATGACAGACTTAATTTCTAGGGTTGAATTTACCCACTTAAAACTATAATTTTATGAAAAAAGATTATTGTATTATTAGATTTAACAGTGTTTTTGCTTACTTCTTTTATACTACTACTGCTGATGTAATGGGATTATAAAAAAACTATTTACTATTCCTAAGAAGTTAAGTTGTATGATTTGTATTGTAATTTACTGTAGATTTTTTACTTAGTTTGACCTTTAGACTAACCAATACAAGTAGACTTCTCATCCCATTGTAAATTTTGAAGCTTGTTTTTCGTGTCTAGTTCATGTCCGGTGACACTGATCGCTACTGTCAACAAAATTTCATTTCTATTATTTTTGGTTAATTTCATTATTTTTCTGCCTTGGTGTTTGGTTATAAAACTAGGGGACGAGTTATTGTGTTTGATTGGATCGTTTGATTTGGCTGAACAAGATTTTAAATGACTGAAATAACAATAAAAAATTGTACACAAAAGACAACCTCTACAGTGCACCAAGCAGAACAAACTATAAAATTGGCTTCAGCTGTTCCATATGGATGAGAAACTTACCATAAGGGGTACCTATGTTTTATCTTTATGGTTTACATCAGAAATTATGCTTGTTTCCACCCTCTTTACAAACTCTGATGCTTGTGATGGTTTTTAAGGCGGCGCTGGTGAAAGTAAATGATGTTTTGTTACTCTAAATAATAAACAGATGCCATAAAAACAACATTTTGTCATCTTAACTTGATATAGTCTGGGAATTTGATCCTTAAGTGATTCCAGAGGACTCGCCCGAAACATAATGTTATTATTGTTTAAACTTATTGGTAACACAGTTCATTAACTATTCTATGACTGTCAAGAGTGCAACTGCACTAGTCACTAGTCGCGGGAGTCATATCAGTCACCGCATGGGAATTGGACTTTAAATTACATCAATTCATCATCGTCAATCTTGAATATCATACTGAATGTGTCTATTGTAACGATACTTTAGACTAGACCACCTACAAATCAATTACTAAATTAGTATATTTTTCAAGGAATTAAATTGTCCCATCCTAAGTTATATAACCACAGAGAAGAAGTGTTGGATCACACTTTATATAGTTTACTATCTTGGTTGGTAGCAAAAGCACAAGTTGTTATTTCTTGTCAAGATGATAGATTGTCCCTTATCCTGTCCTTTTCTCTCTTCACGACTACCAGCATTTAGGCCGAGTACATACCAAAAGCAACCGGTGATAGCATCGCAACGGCAACTTAAGCTGCATATGAATAACACACGTAGTTTAATGGGCCTGTGTATAGGCCTACCAAAGCGACTGTGATGTGACAGCTGATTTAACGGTCACTTGACTGAGCAACGCAGGCAACGCCAGTCACGACATGCTGTAGACTCGGTTGACGCCAGTTGCTCAGTTGCTCTTTTAAAGTGCAGAAATTAACAACAAATAAATACATTTCATTTAACTTACCTTAATGTGATTGTTAATCATTCGCCTACATCAATTGGGGTTCTGTTGTTAGTAACTTTTTTCAGCAGTAGAGGGGTCACTAAATCCAGCAAACATATCAAAGGTAGGTTTGCTCATCCTGTAATAGTTGAAAAACTTTTCTGGATAGTCTTTCACACCTTGTAAGGCATGCCACTGGCTTCTGTGTACATTGATGCCATTATATGGAAGCACACTATAAAGTTTTTTTTCTTTTCTCTAATCACATATAGAAGAACTGCCTCCTCCTCAGATGAAGACATCGCTACTAGTGACTGGGCAACTTGTCAACTTTGGTTTAATTTGTATGTACACGCGGTGTAAACCTACAAGAAACTCCAGTTAACTGAGTTGAGTTGCTGTTGCATTACTATCACCCGTTGCTTTTGGTATGTGTCCGGCCTTAAAGAAATCAGCACTGCCCAGAACACACTAAATAAACTAATTTACAGCCAAAACAATATCCTCACAAACTGTCTTCTGATATCTTCTTCTCTGTAAGTTTGTAAGGAGTTACTTGGAACCCTTTTTGATGTATACAGTGTAAAAAATTGTTTAGTTTTTTATTGTATAAAAATAAGTAACCAATTCTTATGTGTATTTTATAATGAGAAGTCAGTGGTTTTATACATACATGCTGCCCCTCTAAACAGTAAGTTTGCCACCACCATTGTATCATTTTATTACTGTCTACTATGAAAAGACTAATTGTCTCAAAGAGTTGAGTGATTGCTAGAATATTAGTTAAAAATTATACATAAAGTTGGTCTCAGATTTGACTTACCCTCTGCTTGGCTGCGACATTACCTCGTTGAAGACTTTAACTTACAGACAGCCCACATAATTTTTTTTGGGTAAAACCTTCAGATTCAATCTAATCTTTCATATTCTATATCTAAGGTCATACAACCCTAATTTACTCTTAAAAATACCAGGGCTCAGGTACTAACCTTCTAATGTTATGGGTTTATAAAAAAAAAAAACAATGATTCCTCTAAAGTTAGATTGTTTATAGCCATCAAAATATGTGCTTAGCTAAGAGTCTGGTGTGGTACTGATCAAAATGTATCCATTTCGAATAGGAAAATCAATATATTTGGCTGTAGAGGCAAATATTTTACAGAATATGTGATAGAATGATGTTAATTGTTGTAAATGTATTCTAAGCTTCAGTCTGTTTTCATACATGCTATTTTCTTAATAATAACTACATATCAGGATTGCTTGAAATTTTTTTTTCAAATTTGATACATTTGTCTTTTGCTATCTCATCACTTCCCGAATTCGCCACTAAATTAACTGGTTAGTAGCATTGGTAAAAAATACTCAGTGAGAAAAATAAGTTCAAATGTTTTATTTCTAAACACATAGTTGATTTTATGTTAAAGGTATTGTATCAACATGAAGAGCTGACCATTTTTACTTCCAGTGTGTCTACCATTTTACTTATAAATTTCTTTAAATAGTAAAAAGTTCACTGATCATTTAATTCTTACTGCCATATTCACAACAAATTCAAATACCACTATTTGCATTTATTTGTTTATTTCAGTAAAAACAGCATTTAAGAGTACCCTACCTCAATTTCAAAGGCCTAACAACTTTACATACAGCTAGTTTTTGTACTTAGTTTGTAGACTAAACAGTGTAAGTAGATTTTATATGCTTCCTCATAAGCCTAGCTTGTACACAGGCTTCAGCCCCTGTTTGTTAGAAAATATTTATTTTTATTACATATCATTATTTTTGAACAAATATTCTTAAGCGTTGTGTAGTGTAAGCAGTACATATTATGTGAAATGTTAACTGTTATGCATCAGACTAGAACAATCAATATTTTTGGCTGTAAGGGCAAATATGTTATAGAATATGTGATAGAACGATGTTAATTGTTGTAAATGTATTCTAAGCTTCGGCCTGTTTTCATACGTGCTCTTTTCTTAGCAATGATTACCGTCAGTAATCGATGGTATGGTATTTGAGACTATATGCACTTATATTGTGCTTGTAGTAGTTAAGGATATATTGCATTTAACGCTTACATACTTTCATATCTAGATACTTTCATTGAGGGTACCCATTGTATTCTTAACCCTGAGGAAAGCACAATTCAACTTTATAAATTCAACCTCTAGCAATCATCATCAAACATTTTACTTTCAATCTGTACAACCATAACACACTAGGTGTAATACCATAATATTGATATAAACAATTGATTTCACTTACAATAGCCAAAAGACAATAGATTAATTTGATTCCTCATAGATGTTCCTATTATAGTACCTAGTTACATTTTGTTTGCCATTCTTTTACATTTTACAATACCGACAATTGTATTCAAACTGAGAACTTTCTTACATAGGATGCTTTATGAACATGTTTAAAAGATTAAAATGTAGCCTAATTTTGAAATAACAACCTAGAGTAACATACAATTGTTATGCTTAAGAATATGGTTTTCCCTACTTCCCCTACCCTATTTTCACTACTTTCCCTGGAA